TTTTACATTAAATGGTGTTAGATTTATGGCCAAAGAGTGTGACTTCCATCATTCAGTCAAGCCAAGTCACTCATCTGTGCTAACCTCATCAGCTAATTCATACAGGCATGGAGACGAGGTGAAAGGCAAACGGTGAAGCGGAGAGTTTTGCTCTCGTGCTAATAATGTTGAGCAGGGTAAATGCTGACAGAACTGAAACTGCTCAAGATATAAATAGCTGAGTTGATGATCGAAACAAGATTTTAAACAAACCAGTTGATGGAGAGAGATTTAAATGTCTCGACTTGTTTATTCTTTTTTGCTCCTGTTGACTCGGGAGAGGCAAAATGCCTCCTACCCACATGATGGAGCAGTATTAACTGCAACTCAGGACATTCTTGGGCGGTGGAAGGAATCTTCGAGGGTGCTTGCATATCCTTGAATATACTTATTTTCTTTTAGTTGTTCAGCACTTTTGTCAACAGTTGCTTTGGCGGATTTTTGAGCCTGCTTATAAATAAATTGAATTTAATGTTTTGCGCTCTTGGAAAATGCATTTGACTGTGTCCTTTAAGTGTCCTGGGGGAGTACTTAGAAGTATGAGGTATCTGGCCTGGTATTGTGGCCTGTTTGATTCCTGAAAAACTAAAAAGTTTTTATTGCTGGCAATAAGTCCGACTCATTCCCAGTAGGGTGTTGGACTTCCAATCATAATTTCTGAGGGATTTCAAGGCACAGCCAATGGCCACAGGATGTTATGTTTGCTTTTTGTGGACGATGTGGTTCTGTTGGCTTCATCAAATGATGACCTCCAGCTTGCATGATGAGTCCCAAGTCTCCCCAAGTCATGAGTGAGAGAAGCAGGAGTTTGACAGTCAGATTGATCCAACGTCTGCATGAATGTGACACTGTTGTAGTAAAGACAGACCTGAGAGTGGAAAGCAAGGCTCTCAGTTTCCCAACCCTCACCTATGGTTGTGAGCTCTGGGTAGTGACTGAACCAATGACAGTAGTGGAAATTAGCTTAATCTGAGGGTTGGCTGGGCTCATCCTTACAAGTATGTTGAGGAGCTCAGTCATTCAGGAAGGGGAGGTGAACCATTATTCCTCTACATCATAGGTGTCAAACTCTGGCCCGCGGGCCAAATTTGGCCCGCAGCCTAATTACATTTGGCCCGCGAAGCCATACCAAATTACTATTAGAGCTGGCCTACTGGTATTATACAGCTAATATATATATTGTTTAGTATTAAGCTTTGCTTGTTCCATATTCAGTTTTCCAGCAAAACTTATTTGAGTCCATAAGAAAAGATTCATTCTTATATCTGGAGGAAGTTTTTTTTTTTCAATAAATATTAATGTTAGCCCGCGACTTTGTTCCAGTTTTGAATTTTGGCCCACTGTGTATTTGAGTTTGACACCCCTGCTCTACATCAAAAGGAGACAGTTTTATGTGGTCTGGGCATCTGACTACGAGACCTCCTGAACACTTCTAGGTCAGGTGTTGTAGTTGTGTCCAACTGGGACAGACCCAGGACACCCTTGGGACATTGCATCTGTCAGCTGTCTTGGGAGTGCCCCACTGGCCACTGCTATAGGAGGTAGCTGGGGAAAGGATGCTGACATGGACATGAATGGATGGGTGATTTATTGTTATTGCAACTTTCCTTCCAGATAAAATAAGCTAATATAGAATATGCTAAGATATAGAGCTATGGAATATGCTGTAGATATGGAGAAACATTGTCATTAATTTGTTTTACTTTGTTTAACTGATGATTATTTGAACAGAGTGACAGAATCAGTAGTAATAACATTACTGGGCTAAAACTGCAAAGCATTAAGGTCGATTAAATGCCCAAGTGGAGTTTATAGCTATGAAACATTTTCACTTACACAAACTAATTTTATCTGTAGTGAGTAGAAAAGTATTAAGGTCGTTCTAGCAGTTTAACACAAAACATTAACAAAATCACAGCGTCTGTTGAGAACAGGATCTGAAAAAGTTGCAAGAGAACTTCAGTTTTTCAGTTCTGTGTTGTCACCTAAAGGCATGGTTATGATTTACATATTTGGCGAGCTTTGAAAATAATTCTTCATAAAAATTGAAGTCTTTGATGTACCTGGTTGCTGAATGGTTGCATCAGATCAATCCAAGCATCTACTGTAGGCTAAGTTCTCAGAGATGAACAGCAAGCTTTTTCGTCACCTCTCCTACTTAACCAGTTCAGTTTCTACACTATTGCATTTTTTCACCTCATCTACATTTTCAGCCCGCAAGAAGTTTAATTCTCTGCCGGTTTAGTCCCACTTTCTTGTTATTAAACTTCCAAACCCCAATTTGCCTTTAAACTCGTACACAGTAATTCATTAAGGATAATGTGTATTCTTCCTTTGAGCCGCGCTGTCTTTGTGGGCTTCAGGTCCATTTGCATAATATTTGGTCATATGAGAATGAAAATGGACCATGCAATCTCTCATAAGGATGGAATAAACACCCGTTAGCATTTCTCGTTTAGTTTATGAAAGGAAATAAATAGCTTGAGATTCACAAGGACAAACACTCGCGCATCCACAGTCACTGCAGACAGGCAGATTTTACACTGTGACATTTACAGAGTCGATGCAGGAAGCGCACAAACTCCGGGAAATCCAGCAGCAGCTGCTGAATGTTTGCAATAATCAGTATACCGGTTCTTTTATTCCCCTCTGGTGGTTGCTTCCTAAATGACTTGACTTTCATGTTACAGTGACTGGTGCTTTGTAGCGGATGCTTTAATCTCGGAGAGAAGATGCTTTTCATGTGGGCCACACAAAGCTGTTTTTGTATTATCGTTCAACATCACTGCAGTAATTACTGAAGCTCGGCGCGAGGGAGACTTTTATGTTTTAGTTTTTATCACACACGCTGTCAAGTTGCTGTTGCTAACCACCACATTAAAGGTTTAGAGTTAAATCTCAGTAGTTATCCATCTTCGAAGACTTTGACTTATGTAGCAGGAAATAAAGTAATGATTTGTCGGTTATTTATTGTACTTTCTACTTTTTTTTCTTTTACAAATCTTCTTTAAAACACCCTTTTAAAAAAAATTGTTGAAATGCATACTGTCTTAGTGGAAAGATTACCACTTTAGGGATTAGTTACTGTAAAAATAGCATCAGTGTTAAAACAATACTCCATGCAACACGCTGATAGCTCATGTATATGCATATAATAAGATAAGAGGTAGCAGTAGTGACTTGTTTTCCACCCATACGTATACTCATTTTAGAAATTTAACCGATAAAAATGTATTTTGCTTCACTGTGGAGAGGATTGACTAGTTGTATCAAGAATACACTGGAAAAAAAACCTTGGGGTGGTCTGAGAAAGACTTGCAGTCACAGTGGAAAAGTCAAAAATAACCTTATTTGGTTGGATGTTGCGAATTGTTGGACTGATTTGTTGTTGTGTGAATAGTTGACAGGTACTGCATGTTGAGTTTTTTACCTTTTCACCTCATATCCTGCTAAAAAAGAACCTAAAACAAGCAGAACTTGTCTCCGTGCATAACTGTGTTTTCTCTGATTTTGCAGGTGGCCTGAGAGGAGCATCCATCGTTGACTCACTAGACACTCTGTACATTATGGGTTTGATGGATGAGTATAATGATGCCAAGGAATGGGTGAAGACCAGCCTGGATCTAAATTCGGTGAGAAACTCATTTTAGTGTCAAGTTTCTTTCCTTTTCTTTTTTTTTGCATTTTACGTTCGGGCAACTTGGGGGCAACATCCTCCCCTCCATCAAGCTTAACCACACTCTTACTACATAAGCATAATGAAGTTTTCAGCTGTGACCGTGCATGCTCGATTGATTTCAAGCTGTGCTTTTGTGCTTTAACAGCGACATTGTGTCCACTGAGTCTGACAGTTTTCCAAAGCTCAGGACATTCCAGCAGAAATCAAAAGCTTCCTGTGTGGCCACCAGCCACGCCGTGTTACCGACTGATGGAATTCTCTGCCTCTCTGAAAGGTCTTTGTGGGGCAGAAAATGTGATAAATAAAGGAGCGAGTGCTTGAGCAGGGTTTAAAGGGTGTTGTAGATTAAAAAAATGTGGGAGAGAGGAGGCAAAGAGAGGCCATGACCCTTTCATTGAGCGAGTCTGTAAAGGCTGGGTTGCGAGCAGCGTGGGTTGCCAGTTCTGATATCATGTTGAATTGAGCGAAAGCCAGTGGAAGTGGCAACCAGGAAGGGCTTTTAGGGAGTTTGCTGCTAATAGGTAATTTGTGAGCCTGTTTGTCAGTGTGTTGTTTTTATGCTTTGCAAATGAAAGGGGTCATTTTCGGACCACCGTTGTCAATAAAATGTGGTTATGTAATAGTGTGTAATTACACAAAGCTTGCAAACACAACTATGTCATTATGACTGTCATCATGGAAGGCTACTGTAGACGCTAGGCAATAATTATACCGATTCACTGCCTGTTATGACAGCACGCCAAATGTCTCAAGTTGAAGTTGTTTTGTTTGTTGACAGTTAAGGCCCAAAAACACTTGTTTATTATGAGTGTGTTGGTGAAGAAAACCAATCTTAACGACATTTGACACGTGTGGCATACTGCACATGATGCCAGTAACACTGAACTCTATTTGAATAATATGCAGTCATCAGCTCTGCTGGAAAGCAGAGGCCTAAAAAACACTTCCACTGCATTTGAGATGTGCTTCATCGCAGCACATTGTCGATCACTGCCAGATACGAGGCCATAAAGAAATGCACAGTGATTGTTATTGCCCACATATCAAAGCTGTTATTTTTCTCACTCATGGCACGCACAGATGTCACTGATACAAGGACTTGGAATGAGACGTGACACACACCCACACGCAGTTAATGCAGCGAATGGCCTTTTCCAGTGAAGAGAGAAGATTCTTAACTTTGACTGCAGCTGTGGCTGCTGGAGACGGCCAGTAATTGCAGCTGCTGACAAACAGCCACAGTGTCACCAATCATAAAGACAACAAACGCGGGTTTACACTTCACAGTGCACTTTGTCAGGGGTGTTATATGCCACAATTTGTTAACTTCACCACTTCCCGTCTTCATTGCAGGGCAGAGGCTTGCAATTATTCTCTGCAGGAAAGTTGAAATTATTTACATGTCCTCATTAAAGTGCTGTTCTTTGTCCTGTAAGATCTGATTACTTGTCACATTTTTAAAAAATATCTCATTTTCCGCCCAAATTACAGCATTTCAAGTACAGTAAACTGTGCACTTTAAACGCAAACACACACAGTGACTTCTACATCTTCTTTCTTAATCTCATCATTTTGTTTTAGTTTTTGCAGTTTGAACGTATAAAACATATAAAACAGCACACTGGCTCATCATAGGGATTGTCAGATTCACTATGAAATGGATCACCAAGCTTGTCGAGAGCCTACAGAAATTTTTCTTATGGCCTCGTTTTTTTTTCTTTTCTAAATGCCACTTAAGGAAATACATGCATACAAGCATAAAAGCAAAGGCTGGAAAAATGTAGCACATAAGGTCAATAGTTTGTTTATTATTATAAGAAAACAAGCAAGGAAGTAAAAAAGAAAAATAAAATGTTTTATTTTTCACAGATTTAAGAAATTATTTTGTTGCAATCCTTAAAAAAAATTAAATAAAAAAATGGAATGTATAACAAATAGAAGTGTTTTAATTAGATTCATTATAACATTAATTACAAATAATATATATATAAAATCAGTGTTACACATTACTTTACCATTGTGTTACTTCATTACTCTTGGGAGAAAGTTCTTCACACTACTTGTAATGTAACCTTAAATGCATAGTCACATAATTACCAGTTATCTATATAAATCTGAGGCTATAGTCGCACACACTGACGTAAATCCTTGTCCTAAGTAGGACACAGATTTTTCTTTTAGTGTTAAAGTTCGAACAAAAAGTTAGAAGCACAAAGTGAAGTTGAAAGCCAGCTGAGAGACGCTTCAAAACGATTGCCTGTGCTAGCTTTGTGTTAGCATGCTGTTTCTGCAGATGATTAGAAAGAGCTAATGTTGTGTTAACATTAGAATGCACAACAACATAGTAGTGATAATTAGACAACAATACTCGTATCGATATTGAACCGTTCGATACAGTGCTTTCGGTTCGGTACGCATATGTATGAACAATACAAAATTTTTAATTTATTTTATCAACCATCCTTCTGACGATGCTGTCTGTGTTGAGCGCTCAGTGGATCTGCGCTCGACAGCGCAGCCTAGGCGGAGTAGTCGAACGCAGATTCACTGAGCGCAGGGCAAACTAGCGAGACAGAAGTTAAGCTCTCCTTGCAACATGGCAAATTGAACCTCCCCCACCCTAATTCAGATGTGGCGTTTGGAACTATTTTGGTTTTCATGTGACGTATGACCCTGAAGGTAAGCATGTCATGGACAAAAGTAAAACAGTATGTCGGATGTGCCACGCAATGCTCCCACATTGGTGGGAACTAGTGCATTAGCGCAGTTAGCTCGTTAACGTGTTGGCCGTCCAGCCCCAGCAAGGGTGATCTGCGGTAGCTCATTAACGGAGATTTGCCGTGTTGTGGCGTTAACGTCATTTCAACGAGATTAACGCTGACAGCACTAGTGGGAACACAACGAATATGACTGCACATTTACTCTGACATCATCCTAGTGGAAAGACAAGTGGAAGCAGTCAAAAACAACAGGCACGCATGCTACAAACTTTACCGAGTCATTTAGACAGCCGTTAGCACATGATTCTCCTTATGGGGACCTGATATGTTTAATATGCTGCTGAGAGTATACCCCAGAAGAAGCGTATAGTATAGCTTTTATTTTGGAAAGAGACATTTCTCATCACTCATCTCTTTTCCAAAGATGAGTGATTTCTCGATCAGATTACTTTGTTGTTTCAGCAACATTAAATTTAAAAACTGTACTTTTGAGTTAAAATATATATTTATAATTTTAATAAATGACAAATTAAAAAGGCATGAAAATTTTTTTGTATTGAAAAAATATCAAACCTTGACACCAAAGTATCAAACCAAACCGTGAATTTTGTGTATCGTTGCACCCCTAGTGATAATGTAATGTGATTACTTAATTTGCGCTGAGTCATGATATTACTGTACTAGCAAAAAATGGAATGTAGTTAGAGCATTGCATTACTTTGTAAAATGTGACGCCTCACACTGTATATAACAATTTTTATAAGAATTTCAAATTACTTTCAAATTACTTATGATTTACATAAAATAAAGTGTAATCTATTTCAGTTAAAGGTGCAGTAGTAGTACAAGGGATGGAGCAAGGACACAGGGATTTTCATGCTCACATTTTTCTTTTAATTACATTACTGTCAGCAGATTCAGCCAGTCACACTGCAAAGCACTTTGTTAGATTTATCAGCTCAGGCCTGTCTGTCAGCCATAGCTCGACACGTTGTGACAGCTGCTCTGTAACTTGTTAGCAGTGAAACAAGGACAGAAGGAAGAGGACGGTGTTACACTAGCACAGACTTGACCGTGTTTGCAGCAGGTTTCAGCCTCTTCGCCGAGAAACTCGGACATCAGCTGCTCATTATTATCCCGTTTCTACAGGATTTCTTCTTTGTGTCGGAATGAAACCAAACATACCCACGTTTATATTTTTAACAAATGCACTTAGTAATACAGAACCATCAGACTTTAAAACTCTGTGCCATGTGAACAAATTAAATTCCTTGAAATCTTCCTTAATCATATGACTTTGAAGCATCGACAAGCTTCTGATGCATATCTGAATGAACAACTCAGCAGACAGACTGGCCATGCTGGCGGCTCAGCCAATTACCAAGACAAAAGAAGCTCCAGAGTATATCTACCCGTGTTGGCCTGTGCCATGCTTCTCTACAAGCTGTTGTTGCATAAAAACTGAACAAGTATTTGGCAACATCATCAGACATCAGCACTGAGGCACTTATTGAGTCTGATGAAGACTTATTTATGTAAAGAATGGTTTGGTCAGTATGACGACTAAGTTTCAGTTAAGTAAAGCAGCTGCCCTCTGTGAGCTCATCAGACCTTTTCCCATTAAAGCGAGTAATTAGGTGTGATTAATGTCGACTTTAAGATTGGACTGTATTCCCTCATGTTCCCTTCCAAATTTTATTACGCTTTCAGAGCCTCCCTTCCTCCATTTCTGCTCTTTCACTTAGTTATTTCTAATCTCTCCACGGCAGTTTCTGTCTGGCTCAGTTCTTTTTATTCATCATCGAGAAATCTATGTGTTGAGTCTGTTAAAGCAAAATTGTGGCAAGTGATCGCTCTGATCTACGGTCATCCAGTTTCATCATGTTGCTGAGTGTTATGGAGGGATTGTTTTTGTCTGTTTGTTTGCTAAGAATAAATGCATTATCACAGGTGATGACCCTTTAAGACAGCCGCCCCCAGCCCCCGGGAGTCGTTGTTTGGTACTGGGTTTTATCGGTTTTTATTGTTACTTTTGTATCTTTTATGTTATTAACTCTGTTTTCCTGGGTCTTTTCCTGTGTGTTATGAATAAGTCTTCTTTTTTTTGGTACCAGTACTGGTTTTATTTTGTTGTATTTATCCAGGACACCTTAAATGCCGATCCGTGAAAATATTGTCGGACACAAACTGGTCCCAGTTAGGGACCGCTGCTTTAAGATGACATGAAGAAAAT